CCCCCCCCCCCCCCCCAGAGTCGGACACGACTGGATTCAATGTCAGTGGAAAACCTTTACCTTTTATTAAATCTGCAGCTACAGTGGCCCCTATGCTGGTTAGAGGATTTGAGGAATTGTTGTCTTAAAAATAGACCAGGCTTTAGCACAGCAGGTTAATCACCAAGCTACAATAAAAATTGTCAACTGGCAGGCTGGGAAGCCCAGGTCATAGTGAGTGCCTGACGTTTTGCCCTGCTTCTTCTTACTTTGCAGTTTAAAAAATGCGAGTAGATAAATAGGAACCATGTTAAAGCGGGAAGGTATTTAGGCATGTATTTCAGTCAGAAAAAGGAGGACTTTTATGAACAAAGAAAGCTCTTCGGAAAGGAGATGGAGCGACACCACCCCTGTGTCCAGAACCTAGCACAGCCTCCAAAGATACCAAAAGATGGAGCAACCTCTATATATATATATATATATATATATATATATATATATATATATATACATACATACACACACATACACGTAGCTGTTGTCTATCTTGTCATTGCATAATTGGCATTGAATGTTTGCCCTGTATGTGTTCTTTGATCCGCCCTGAGACCCCTTTGGGGTGAGAAGGGTGGAATATAAATCCTATAAATAAAATAAAATAAAAATGTGCCCTACTCCCAAGTTTTGATTCACACAAATACACACATTTTTCATTTTCTGTTTTTGAAACTTTGTGATTCTTCTTTTTCAGGACCCTTTAAATTCCGGTGATGATGTGAGTGAGCAGGAAACTCCAGATGTCTTTGACACCGATAATATAATTGTGTGTCAATACGATAAGGTACCGCACAGAACATTTTCTCTGTTCTTTTGTTGCAACATAAATCAGTGGCCAGTGTTTGGCCCATTAAGCAACCACTGAAAATACATAAAAAAAAAACACAATCTTAATTCTTGAATTCTACAGAAATTAAAATGCTGTTGGTGAACAAAGCCGGTTGTAGCCAGGCTCTGAAACTAATTCCATGTGAGCGTCCTTATCCCTATTCCCAGTAGCATTGGAACTGGAAGTGGCATCACTTTGCTTGTTGGTTTTGATTCTAATATTAATTTGCAGAGCTGTGTGGGATACTATGCGTGAAAAGGACTTATATTGCCATGTTTTTATGGAAGTTTTCTGGCAGATTTGTGTGTGTTTTGACAGATGCTTCAGCGGATACTCTACGTGCTATTAGGAGTGGTTTGAGAACACCAAGAACACAAAATAGGGTCTTGGGGCCATGCTCCCCCCTCCCCTTTCCCAGCCTTATAATTTATATGCTCCATCACTATAGTATTATGGCAAGGAAGCAGACTGCAGAAGGAAGCATTATGTACCTTTACAGGTTTGACTTTGGTGGATTTGATCATTCACAGATTTGTTGTTTCTAGGAACCTCTAGATCCTCTAATGTGACTCTTTGATGGAAATTTGGTAGATGTTGATCATAGAGGCATGTTGAAGAAACTAGAGATGCCTAGAAATAACTTCTCTTTCATCCTCCGGAGCTATGAACAGTTTCTGATAGACATTGAGTATAGAGTTGTGCTGGAAGACTTAGAGATTTTAAATTATGGTTTTCCCACTTTCACGTAATTCCTGCAAGTGTGGAGGGTATATACAAGTATTGGGCTCGGTTTTAGAACAGTAGGTTAATCACCAAGCTGCAGTAAATCTTGCCAACTGGAAGGTTGATAGTTTGAAGCCTGGGTCACAGTAAGCACCTAGCCTAGCTTGTGCCAACCTAGCAGTTCGAAAACAAATGTGAGTAGATAAATAGGAACTGCATGAAAGCGGGGAGGTATTTTAGGCACTGCATTTTGATCAGAAAAAGGAGGAAGTTTACGAACTTACGAAAGAAAAGGTCTTTGTCAAGGAAATGGAGCGACAGCACCCTCCTGTGGCCAGAACCAAGCATAGCCTCCAAAGATGTGGAAAGATGAGAAATGTTGTGTGTGTATGTGTATACACACACACACACACACACACACACACACACCTCTATCAGTTAACTGTCTTGTCATTGTATCATTGGCATTGAATGTGTTCTGTAATCTGCCCTGAGTCCCCTTTGGGGTGAGAAGGGCAGAATATAAATAGGTAAAGGTGAAGGTAAAGCTTTTCCCTGACATTAAGTCTAGTCGTGTCTAATTCTGGGGGTTGGTGCTCATCTCTATTTCTAAGCTGTTTCTAAGCTGAAGAGCTGGCGTTGTCCATAGTCACCTCCTAGGTCATGTGGCTGGCATGACTGCATGGAGTGCCGTTACCTTCTCGCCGAAGCGGTATCTATTGATCTACTCGCATTTGTATGTTTTTGAACTGCTAGGTTGGCAGAAGCTGGGGCTAAAAGCAGGAGCTCACCTTGCTCCCCAGATTCGAACCGCTGACCTTTTGGTCAACAAGTTCAGCAGCTCAGTGGTTTAACCCACTGCACCACCGGGGACTCCCAGGAATATAAATACTATAAATAAATAAATAAAAATTTCCAAATCTGTAAAAAATCCAAGATCTGAAACACTGCAAGTCTCCAGCATTTTGGATAAATAGTACCCAACCTATACTCTTAAATGATGAACAGTACTAAATTATTTTAAAATCTCATCTGAACTTCCAATATGTGTGGTACTGGTATGGCTTAATGTGTTTTTTTTTTTTTGTCTTTGGGTTTACGTTCTTCTTCAAACAGCTGTTTGTATTCCATCCTTTACAAAGGAAACCAGGTTTGCTCAGAGTAGGTTTTCTAATCAGCAGGAATTAAAGGTTCTATTAAACAGTTTCTGAGAGCCCCTACTGTTTGCTTTTTTTAAAACTCAGGTTCAGCGAAGCAAGAACAGATGGAAGTTCTATCTGAAAGACGGCGTGATGTGCTTTGAGGGAAAGGACTATGTTTTTTCCAAAGCTGTCGGTGATGCGGAATGGTGAGGCATCCGAAAATACTGCAGTGCCGCTATTATTATTGTTATTATTTAACTAATTAAAGGATGTGCTGTAACATTCATTGGGTAAATGGCCACATTGAAAATCTTTTGTTCTGAAACACTGGCTGTGAAAAGAAACTTCGTGTGCAATGCCTGTGACTATATAAAAGAAATAAATATATCCTGCATTAACTGCACATTGATCAGCTGCTTCTTGGACCGTATTTTGTATATGTGCATTTGGCTTTGATAAAGTTGCACATCTGTTTATTGAGAGCCTCTAGAGGCAAGATAAAACTTCATAAAGACTATTCATGTTTGGCAGAGATTCTTGGCTTCCAGTTAGAAGAGGAAGTCTATCTGTATGAACAGCTTCACCCAACCTGATGAGTAAACAACTACCCATGAAATGGGTTATACCAGGCATGGGCAAACTTGGGCCCTGCAGGTGTTTTGGACTTCAACTCCCACAATTCCTAACAGCCGGTAGGCTGTTAGGAATTGTGGGAGTTGAAGTCCAAAACACCTGGAGGCCAAAGTTTACCCATGCCTGGATTATACTCTTGGTCTCCCCATAAATGACTACTAGTAAATTTCAACCCAAAATGGCATGCAGATGAGAAGTTTAGAAGAATTCTGCTGGATTCATATCCAGATCTATCCTTGTCCAGAGGGACTTCTTACACTATACCAGTGGTTCTCAATCATCCTAATGCCGCGACCCCTTAATACAGTTCCTCATGTTGTGGTGACCCCCAATAATAACATTATTTTTGTTGCTACTTCATAACTATAATTTCGCTACTGTTACAAGTTGTAATGTAAATATCTGATATGCAGGATGTATTTCATCCACTGGACCAAATTTGGCATTTGCGAGTTGTACTTGCTGGGATTTATACTTCACCTACAATCAAAGAGCATTTTGAACTCCACCAATGATGTAATTGAACCAATCTTGGCGCACAGAACTCCCATGACCAACAAAAATTACTAGAAGAGTTTGGTGGGCAATGACCTTGAGTTTTGGAGTTGTACTTCACCTATATCTAGAGAGCACTGTAGACTCAAACAATGATGGATCTGGACCAAACTTGGCATGAATACTCAATATGCCCAAATGTAAACACTGGTGGAGTTTGGGGAAAATAGACCTTAACATTTGGGTATTGTAGATGCTGGTATTTATAGTTCACCAACAATCAAAGAGCATTCTGAACCCCACCGACCACAGAATTGGACCAAACTTCACACACAGAACCCCCACGATCAACAGAAAATACTGTGTTTACTGATGGTCTTTGGTGACCGCTCTGACACTCCCGCGCGACCCCTCCAGGGGTCCCGACCCCCAGGTTGAGAAATGCTGCACTATACATTTATTTATTTATTTATTTATTTATTATTTAAAATATTTATATTCCGCACTTCTTACCTCGCAGGGGACTCAGGGTGGAGCACAACATATATACGGCAAACATTCAATGCTGGGACATAAAACCATCAATATACAAACATTAAAATCACTTATATCCACTTTAAAATCAATTGCTTAAAAACCATCTTAGGACACCATTCTAATATTGCTACAAGGGTTGAATGAAAAGTAATGCCTCCACCTTCGTAACTCCTCAATAGATGGCATTACCGGTATGCGGCAGGTACTGGCTTGTTCAGTAGACTCTCCTCTACAGTTCCATTTTGGCGGGAAGCCTTAGCATTGAACGGTTGTGTTGTTAAAGTGCAAAGTATGGAACCCTGCATAGGCGGTCGGTCAATGCAATTTAAGCAACGTGCAGTCATTGAATTCTTGACAGCAGACGGTGTCACCCTAAAGGAGATTCATCAGAGAATGCCAGCTGTTTATGGTGATTGTGTTGATGTGAGTACTGTGCATCGTTAGGCGAGTAAGTTTAAAGATGTTGAGGTGGGAACATCTGACTTGTGTGATGTTTGAGAGAACTGTGAGACGCTGGTTGCGGAAACAGAGTGTCAACTTCTTCTGTGACGGGCCAGACAGTATCCTGCCATAGGATATTTTGCCATCAGATGGTTCTTAGGGGAGAAAATCCCACCACATTTGCCCACCACATCTTAAATACGTACATATCTGATCTCTTTTAATCTGATCTCTTTTTCCGATACATTTACAGGCTGGATAGATGCAGGGAATGCTGTGGATGCAGCGTACCTGGATTTCAGTAAGGCCTTCGAGAAGGTCCCCCATGAACTTCTGGTAAACAAACTTGTTCAATGTGGGCTAGGCAAAACTATGATTAGGTGGATCTGTAAGTGGTTAAGCGAACTAACCCAGAGGTTGATTCTCCCAATGCTTCCTCTTCATCCTGGAAAGAAGTGATGAGCAGAGTGCCATAAGCAGGGTTCTGTCCTGGGCCCGGTCCTGTTCAGGATCTTTATTAATGAGTAAGATGAAGGGTTAGAAGGCATGATCATCAAGTTTGCAGACGACACCAAATTGGGAGGGATAGCCAATACTCCAGAGGACAGGAGCAGAATTCAAAACGATCTTGACAGATTAAAGAGATTGGCCAAAACTAACAAAGTGAAGTTCAGCAGGGACAAATGCAAGATACTCCACTTTGGCAGAAAAAATGAAATGCAAAGATACAGAATGGGAGACGCCTGGCTCGACAGCAGTATGTGTGAAAAAGATCTTGGAGTCCTCGTGGAGAACAAGTTAAACATAAGCCAACAATGTTATGTGGTGGCAAAAAAAGCCAATGGGATTTTGGCCTGCATAAATACGAGTATAATGTCTAGATCCAGGGGAGTCATGCTACCCCTCTATTCAGCCTTGGTTAGACTACATCTGGAATACTGTGGCCAATTCTGGGCACCACAATTGAAGGGAGATGTTTGACAAGCTGGAATGTGTCCAAAGAGGGCTACTTAAATGATCAAGGGTCTGCAAAACAAGCCCTATGAGGAGTGGCATATTTAGCCTGAAGAGACATGATGAGGGCCATGTATAAATATGTGAGAGGAAGCGACAGGGAGGAGGGAGCGAGCTTGTTTTCTGCTTCCTTGAAGACTAGGACACATTGGAACAATGGCTTCAAACTCCAGGAAAGGAGAGTCCACCTGAACATGAGGAAGAACTTCCTGATTGTGAGAGCTGTTTAGCAGTGGAACTCTCTGCCTGGGAGTGTGGTGGAGGCTCCTTCTTTGGAAGCTTTTAAACAGGCTGGATGGCCATCTGTTGGGGGTGTTTTGAATGCTATTTTCCTACTTCTTGGCAGGGGGTTGGACTAGATCAGTGGTTCTCAGCCTGTGGGTCCCCAGATGTTTTGGCCTTCAACTCCCAGAAATCCTAACAGTTGGTAAACTGGCTGGGATTTCTGGGAGTTGTAGGCCAAAACACCTGGGTACCCACAGGTTGAGAACCACTGGACTAGATGGCCCATGAGGTCTTTTCCAACTCTATGATTCTATATATGTAAAAAAACCCCCACTTCCCTTGTTTTGGGCAAGGTAAGTTAGGGTGAATTGAAAATGCAGTTGTGCCTTTCAGACGTTCGTGGAAAGCAAATGTTCTCCCCTCTGCTTTTATTTTAATGACTTGAAGAAATGTATACTCAGAAACGGAGTCAGGTTGGTCCCAGCAGATGCGTGACTGTGAATATCTTCAAAATCCCCTTTCATGCCATTTTACTGAAGGGCATTCTGCGTGAGGCAGGAAGTAACCTCTCTCATCTACTTATTACAATGCAGATCTCTGCTTTCAAGGCCAGATCCACTACAACAATTAAGAGTATGCTCCAGAATTAATGGATTTGTCTTTTGCATTAGATATTTTGTGCATAATTGCCTCTGGAGCGGTGCACATTTTAAACCTGACCCACTTTCCATTTTCCTCTAATCATATTTATGCTTTTCTGTTTGGAGTAGAAATTGGTAATTAATTATGTTCTTTCCTAGTTCACCGCTGGAAAAGAAAAAACCCAGTGCTTTACAGACCTTGAATTTTGCATGTTTTTTTCCTGTCTCATCAGGATGTCTTTCCGAAAAGATAAAAACTAATAGTTTCATCTGAATATAGTGCAGAAACAGGAAGGAAAGGAGTATCTTTGGGACTGGTATCCCCAGTTTAATTTATTGAAAACTAGCTGTTCCCGGCCAAGCGTTGCTGTGGCCCAATCTAGTTAAATGGAAACGAAAGAAAAGAGAAAGAGTAGGTTTTTAATATATTTAATTTCACAATACTTGTGGGTATACAATACTTGTGGTTGTTCCATTGTCTGTGCAGATAGAGAGATTGTGTGATTTTCCGATTCTAGAACACGCAACATATCATTGTCCATGTGAGAAGCAATCCGTGTCTAGATCTGAACCGCACAATTCTAAAGATTTGAGCTTTGTTGTTGGTTATTGCAAATGCCAATCAAATTGGGAAGTGCAATCTCTTAAATTGAATTTCATATCCGTTGCAGTCATAGGAATGCGAGGTATGATCTCCAACCCAGAATATCAAGGCAGATAATTCACAGTGTCTTCTTTGTAGTGGATTATATGTCAGTGTAGACTTATGGTCCTTCCTTACAGCCATATAACCCAGAACATCAAGGCAGATCACCCACAGTATCTGCTTTGAACTGGGTTATCTGAGTCCAGACTGTCATACAACCTAGTTCAGTGTGGATCATATACAGCTGTGTGGAAGGGACCTAAAGAAAAACTCCCAAAGGAGTTCGAAGGAAATCTATGTATGTAAAGTCAGTGTTTGTATGTGGAGGGAGGACAGTGTATGTGGCAACTTTTTGATTGGCTGCCACTTTCACAGGCCACTGTGAACAGCATGGGTGACGGACCTGGACAAACTTGGCACACATAACCCCCACAACCTCCTTTATGTCCTGGTGATGGGATTTGTAGTACTTTCAAACCTATCAGTTCCCACAGAACACTGTGACCCCCAACATAGACCGATAAAGAGCAAACTTGGCACACAGAGCCCCCATGACCCACTCTACATCCTTCTGCAGTTTGGAGGAGGGCAGACCATGGATGATGGGACTTGAAGTACCTCCACTCACTTCCCGAGACCGCTGCGACCCTCATCAAATGACTGATCAAGACCAAATTTGGCACACATAACCCCCATGACCCCCTTTATGTCCTGGTGAGGTTTGGGGGAGGACGGACAATGGATGATGGGATTTG